TGCGCTATTTCTATATCTTTGCTTGCTCCAGATCCCATGTCTGAAAAACTTGTGATAGCATATTCTTGTTTTGTTCTAATAAAAGCTTTGAAGATGTTGGTACTTGTTTTAGGTTTTTGCCCTGATTTGATAGTAGCTGCGAGCTGAAGGAGTCTGTTGCCTTTTTTGGTTTGTTCTTTAACCATTTTTACATGGCTGACATTTGACATGTTTGCGCTAATCACTCTGCATAAGAAACGAATATGTTTTCGATTTAGTATAGGCACATTTCCAACAGAAAGATTTACCGCTCTGACCTGTCCTTTTCCTACATTCATTGCCTCAGATTTGCTTGGGTTGAAGCTAAAACCGAGATCACCACATAGAAGGTTAAAGTCATTTAGTTTGTTATTAAGGTTTTTAACCGCTACAAAAAACTCACTGTTGTTAGGGATTATAACGAAGTCATCTGCAAATTGCATCATATGAGTGTTTCCATCACTGATCTGATGTAGTCTTTTCGTGTATACATTAAAAGGATGAGCGACAGACAAGATCCCTGTGGGATTCCTCCCTGAACAGCTTCTCCTATTTTCAGTAGTCTCATAGACATAAAACTGATGATCCAGTCAATGTATGTTTAGGAGACCGGTCTGCTGTAATTCGGATTAGCTTCCACCACACATTTCGATCGCACAGTACAGACTTCGACCGTTGAGCAGAACAGTTTGGTTTGGTGCATAAATGCATATATATTTAAAAAAATATATTCTTGTGACACTTGTCACGGTCGCCATGTAATAGGTGAAATTATTAGACTTTAGACTCTAAGCGTATGTCAAACGCTTTTCCTCCGGCCCTTCATTACCAGAACAAAGCAGAAGCTTCTGCTTTTGGTAATGCAAATTTATTCGCTAGATTTTTCCAAACAACGTACTCGTCTCATATTTACAACCACTCGGTATTTGTACCATCTACCTCACGCTAACAGCATTTTTCTGCCTATTTCCGAGGAAAGCGTTGTCCTGGAAGGTTTTGTCATCTATGGACATATCGTTATCAGCGGGTCCAGAAAAGGTACCAAGTTGCATTTTAAAACACTGTGCCCAGTCTATTTGCAAACCCTTGACCTTGACAACCTCTCTTTGGAACAGTCTTGTCTCCGAGTAATTTGGAATGAGTCCTACATCATTCCGCTTCACGGAAAAGGCTCAAGATCAAATATTGAAAACTATCGTGGTATCGCAATGCTTTCCGCCATCCCGAAGCTTCTTGAGTTCCTGGTCACCCGGCAACTGCAACATCTTTGTTGCAGCTTGATATCTCCGTCGGAACATGGTTTTTTCAGATATCGTTCAATATCGACTAACCCTCTTGAGTTTTCCAACTTAATCCACTGTGGTTTTCAAAGTGGTTTGCAGACGAATGTAGTTTTTACGGACTTCAGCAAGGCATTCGATTCTGAAAACCATGCTCAGCTTATTCACAAGCTCTCTTTTGTAGGGTTCCCAACGAAACTTCTAGATTGCATTTTGTCCTATCTCTCTAACCGTTCTCAACGTAATTTGCTTTTTAATGTATTGTGTCAAATATTGTTAATGTTACTTCAGGTGTGCCACAGGGAAGTCATCTGGGCCCGCTTCTGTTTATTTTATTTGTGAATGTCATTCATCTTCCTGAAGTTATAACATACTCTACTACACTAATGTATGCTGATGATGTTAAAATCTGTCTGCCTTACTCTGATTGGTATTTGCACACACGCCTTCAACTGGATCTAAGTGAACTACTATTGTGGTGTTCAACTAATCTTATTTTTCTGAACCTTACTAAATGCAAACTTATGGAGCGACTTTCCAGTTTAAATGACCTCGGAGTCCTATTTGAATATAAGTTGTGTTTTAACAGCAATATAGCTGCAACAGTAAATGAAGCTGAGGGTGTTTTAGCGTTCATCAAGCGTTGGTCCAAGGAGTTTGACGACCCGTACGTGATGAAACAACTGTATATCTCGTTGGTACATCCGATATTGGAGTATTGTTCTTTCGTGTGGAGCCCGCAGTATAAAGAGCAGAAGGTTGTTATTGAATCCGTGCAAAATCAATGTTCAATTTTTGTCCTTTGTAACATTAACTGGGACTCGGGTAGAATATTGCCGCCCTACCGGTCTAGGCTAAATCTTATTGACCTGCCGTCGTTGCACCATCGCAGAATATGCAATGGCGTTATGTTCGTGCACAAGCTCATTCTCGGGATTGTTGACACCCAAACTCTCTTGGGTCAGATTGACTTGGCCGTCCCATCTAGGCCTACCCGTACTTTTAGGCCTTATGTAGATCTAATTATGACCAATATGAACCTTTTAGGGTTATATGCCATAACTTTAACTCCCTCTGTCATACCTTATCCCCTGAACTATCCCTTAAAATAAAAGCATGTAATATTTATAATCACCTAAATTTAACAAACTTGAAACTTCTCTTCTTTTCTCCTTTTGTAACTACATAAGTACCATTTTTAGCAGATAATTGTTAATTAAATAAATAAAAAATATAATGCTATAATTAATAATCTATCTCGATGCAGGATACGTTTTTCTCAGGACCCTAAACAGTTTTAGACCATCGTAAACGTAAGCTTAGAACGCTATCATTTCTTAATACGTCGGCGCAAATTGATCAGGCAATCACCGATATTTTTGCCAAATTTTTCCAAACTAACTATTCTCAGTAAAGTTACTCTGAGCAACCTTACCCATACCAAGGTAGAATGGCACTTTCAGTCTTTTGCTCTCTGCTTCATAAAGCAATTTCTTGGCTTAATAAAAAAGGCTAAAAATATGCCGGAATTTTTTTAGATAGTTAAATATTTTAGAAAGACTTTGAGAAAAAACTTTTATTAAAAATCATCTTTCTTTAAGGAGAAAATTGTAAAGGAAAACATGACTATACAAATGGCAAAAAGGGGAAAATTTGCTAATTTAAATAGGTGTTTTGATCAAAGTTAATGAAATTATATGTCAATTGGTTAAATTAGCTGGGTTTCAATATTTTTAGAAAATAATATCGAGACAAAAGTTTATGGAAATGTATTTGTTTTGACTTTTAATTTTTTGGCTTTGGTGGACTTTTCCATGGAAAAGCTCATATCCATGTTAAGAAAATAACTTTAATCTCTACCTTAACATGGTTTTTTTATACCCGATACTCAAAATGAGTATTGGGGTATATTAGATTTGTGGTGAAAATGGATGTGTGTAACGTCCAGAAGGAATCGTTTCCGACCCTATAAAGTATATATATTCTCAAGCATCAATAGCCGAGTCGATTGAGCCCTGTCTGTCTGTCCGTCCGTCCGTCCGTCTGTCCGTCTGTCCGTCCCCTTCAGCGCCTAATGCTCAAAGACTATAAGAGCTAGAGCAACGATGTTTTGGATCCAGACTTCTGTGATATGTCACTGCTCCAAAAATATTTAAAAACTTTGCCCCGCCCACTTCCGCCCCCACAAAGGGCGAAAATCTGTGGCATCCACAATTTCGACGATACGAGAAAACTAAAAACGCAGAATCGTAGAAGATGACTCTTCTAGATCTTCTAGAGTGCAAAATATGAACCAGATCGTATAATTATTATAGCCAGAATCACGAAAACAAATTCCATTCTTTCTCGCTCTGTCTCACTCTAACACACAGGTTTCATGGTCGGTTTTGCCAATTGCAAAATATGAGTTCAAGGATCTCAGAACCTATAAAAGCCAGAGCAACCAAATTTGGTATCCACACTCCTGTGATATCGAACCTTGACCGTTTCATGTCCAAATTTCGCCACACCCCCTTCCGCCCCCGCAAAGGACGAAAATCTGAGGCAACCACAAATCTCAGAGACTATTAAGGCTAGAGTAACCAAATTTGGTACACACACTCCTTTAAGATGTCACTATAAAACGTATATCTCAGAATTTCGCCCCACCCCCATCCGCCCCCACAAAGGACGAAAATCTGTTGCATCCACAATATTGCAGATTTGAGAAAACTAAAAACGCAGAATCATAGATAATGACCATATCTATTAGATTGCTGAATCTGGATCAGATCAGATCATTTTTATAGCCAAAAGGAACAAACCAATTTGCACTGGCTACGCAGCGCCCGACGTCACGCTCAGACTGATTTTCTGTCTCTCTCGCACGCACTCTTTGTCGTGTCGTTAAATATTAGCGACGTCTGCCGGAGGAGAGCCATACTGACTTAGTATCGGGTATAACCGTAGAGTTGCGGTGTCCGCAGCAACTCACAACGTTCCCCCTCGTTTTATATTAAGAAATATACCGCTTATTTGAGTATTCTTTAATTTATACTCATTCATACTTTACCGTTCCCCAATCATATGCTCATCATTGTATTTTCCCGCTTAAGCACCTGGTTCTACGCGTTTGGGTGTGTTGTTATGCTCATGTGCAAAACATACCCCGCAACTGCACACTCATGCAGCGATGCAATCCATTTCTGCATTGGGACCGTCGCATCGCGTGATCTTTCGATTCCCTTTTGCTCGACCTTTTCTCGCGGATTGGAGTTAATGGAAAATTCTGATTGAAACCAACCGCACGCATAGCTCGCTGTACCGCCGCATCATAGACCCCCCCGCTATTTATTTAAAACACATTGTAATCTAACCTGTAAGAAGCCAATACTAAATAACCCATATATATATATATATAAAAACAATAATAAAGATATTACTTCCATATCCATACGTGTACACCTTTTAAAATTTTCCAAAAAAATAAAAATCCAAATTAAAAAAAAAATAAGTACATAAAAAAATAACCAACAAAATATAATTCAACTGCAAAGTTTTACAAGCCAAGTTATAACTGCACTTCTTAGTTTTTTAGAATTGAAAAGTTCTTTAAAACCAAGACCTCTGATAAAAACATTCAACAAAATGTCATTAATAAAAAAATGAAAATTAAAAATGGGTAAAACTAATTTTTGATTTTTGGAAGTATCCAATTAATACAAAATTTTAAATAAAAAATAAAGTTTTTTATGCATTTGTGAAGCACTATCTATCTATCAGAAAAAGTTGGTTTGACACCAGAGTTTTATTGGCTGAGTGAGCTTATCAGCAAAGACGGATGCGTTCTAGTTAGTTCTAGTGCATTCACAATAATTGACAGCATTCAAATTGATTTAGAAATTTGAAACACCATTATGTTATATATGTTTAAACAAATGTGTCTCCTACGTGAACGGTAGAAGATTCAAACCAATGCAAATTGTTTGGTCAATACTCGGAATTTGCTTGTCTTCGTGATGATGTAGCAGCTTAAAGATACCTGTACCTATGCCTGCCGGCATACCAAGTATAATGCGCTCCGATACGCCATTAATAGTGTCCGTTTGGCCGTAGTACGCTGCATCAAACAAGTGATCTGCAGTCTTCTCAAACTATAGTTAGATTAAAAAACAAAATTTGGAGCATATTTAAATAAAATTAATTTAATTTGCACTTACCGATGCCAAATTAAAAACGCTCTCTCGCATTTTAGCAAGACCGTGTCGCGTGATGCCCAATACCTCACCGCGGGCTGTCATTTGGCTGGCTAAAAGCATAATGTGCCGCCAGTCGACACTCATACCATGTCCCTCCATAACTTCAGTGATCTCGCTCATGATAATGGTCCGAGCTGCTTCAATGCCCAGTGTCTGGAATATTTCACAGATATTGTTACTGCGAGTGCGTTCACCAACTACGCCGTAAGTAGAAATGACCTCGCGAAGCCCATACCCTTCAATACAAAGTTTATATATGGCCGGTTGTCGAGTATCATCTACTGCAATGACGGCACGCGCAATGTTCGGCAAACCCGCAACAACAACGTTCTGGAGACTGAGCGCCAGTCGCGCTAACTCAGCGTTTATTGTTGAGGTTCGCGAGGATTCAACACGAACAATAATTCGCGATGTCCGGGCGGCAATCTCCACTTGTGCAGGTTTAAGTCGCATTCGAGACTTAAGTATACAAGCCACAATTGTCTCTAGGTTGATGTGAAGTCCTAGCACTTTTATGCGCGACATGTCGATTCCCATGGCTAAGTGACAACTATAAGGTCCACATACGACCTCGATAAAGGAAGACAGCTCGCCCAACGTGGTTTTCTCAATGCGAGACTTCACATGCCTCGCATATTCCATGCTACTGTTTTCTTGAAGCTCAGCAGTTATTATTGGCGTTGAAATGGTTTTCGTTGCATTGATTATCTCCACAATACGAGGCACACCCTGAGTAATGTTCATCGAAGCTACACCCGCAAAATGAAAAGTTTTTAGCGTCATTTGGGTGCCCGGCTCTCCAATGCTCTGAGCAGCAATAGCTCCTACTGCTGTACCTGGTTCGCTTACGGCGCGATTATATCGATCATTGATACGACGTACAAATTCTAGCAGCTGTTCGGCAGTGATACATTCGATCTGATGACATAGATTGCCATATTCTCTATACTGTTGTTGAACTTTTCCAATACGCTTAGACACAGTACTTAGATGCTTCCTGTATTGTACAATAAATTTAAGAAGAGACAGTTGTTATAGGATAATATGGATATATGTCCTGAAATAATATCGTACATTTTTTCATTTTAAGTAAGAAATAAAATGTTTGGCATCATCTGCATACATCGAAATGGTCTACGAGTATATGACCTGGGGACGACTTTTTACACAAAAAACAAACAACTGAGGCCCAAAATGTCTTCCATTATTATATTACAAACTAGTTGTGATCGATTTGAAGAAGAAGAGATAGAATTAAGTAATAGTCTATTTCCACTAGGGTTGCGTTATTTCGTAGGAATAAGCAAGAATCCAGAAATCAAGAATACAATACAATACTCAGTCAGTATGACTCACCTCCGCCATTGGGCGCACAAATTGCACGACAAATAGTGTGTGAGGGAGAGACACAAAATAAGTAAGCGCGTAGACATATTGCAAGCCTTTTTGTTCCTTCTGGCTATAATTGTGATCCCATTCTGCGTTTTTCTGCCACAGACTTTCGTCTTTTGTGGGTTCCGCTCCGAAAAAAAGAAATTCATAAAAAACGAGGGTGAACGTTGCTGCGGACACCGCAACTCTACATTTATACCCGATACTTAGTCAGTATGGCTCTCCTCCGGCAGACGACGCTAATATTAAACGACACGACAGAGTGTGTGCGAGAGAGACAGAAAATCAGTCTGAGCGTGATGTCGGGCACTGCGTAGCCACTGCAAATTGATTTGTTCCTTTTGGCTATAAAAATGATCCGATCTGATCCAGATTCAGCAATTTGATAGATATGGTTATTATGTATGATTCTGCGTTTTTAGTTTTCTCGTATCCTCAATATTGTGGATGCAACAGATTTTTGTTCTTTGTGGGGGCGGAATGGGGTGGGGCGAAAATTTGAGATATACGTTTTATAGTGAGATCTAACAGGAGTGTTTATACCAAAATTGGTTACTCTAGCCTTAATAGTCTCTGAGATTTGTGGATGCCTCAGATTTTCGTCCTTTGCGGGGGCGGAAGAAGGTGTGGCGAAATTTTGAAACTAACTCGTCAAGGTCCGATATAACAGGAGTGTGGATAAAAAATTTGGTTACTCTAGCTTTTATAGTCTCTGAGAGATCTCATACTCATATTTTGCAATAGGCAAAGCCAACCATGAAACCTGTGTGTTAGAGAGAGACGGAGAGAGAGAGAATGAAATTGTTTTCTTGATTCTGGCTATAATAATTATACGATCTGGTTCAGGTTTTGCACTCTAGAAGATATGGTCATCCTCTTCGATTCTGCGTTCTCTGTTTTCTCGTATCTATGAAATTGTGGATGCCACAGATTTTCGCTCTTTGTGGAGGCGGAAGTGGGCGAGGCAAAGTTTTGAAATATTCCTGTAACAGTGACATATCACAGAAGTCCGGATACAAAATGTCGTTGCTCTAGCTCTTATAGTCTTTGAGCACTAGGCTCTGATAGGGACGGACAGACGCACGGACGGACAGACAGACAGGGCTCAATCGACTCGGCTATTGATGCCGATCAAGAATATATGTACTTTATGGTTGGAAACGATTCCTTCTGGACGTTACACACATCCACTAAACATAAGAGAAAATTAAAAATCACAAATATAGCGAATGACCATATCTACCAGATTGCCGAATCTGGATCAGTTCGGATCATTATTATAACCAAAAGGAAGAAATCAATTTGCAGGGGCTACGCAGTGCCCCACGACATGTTTTGACTGACTGACTGATTTTCTGTCACTCTCGCACGCACTCTTTGTCGTGTCGTTCAATGTTAGCGCCGTCTGGCAGAGGAGAGCCATACTGACTTAGTATCGGGTATAAATTTAGAGTTGCGGTCGCAGCAGTAAATCACAACGTTATCCGTCGTTCTTGTTTCGATTTGAAATGCTATGGAGACAGGGCCACTGTTCCAGGCGACGGAACTTGTTCTTGCGATCACGATCGGTGTAGATGTAACGAGCCGCTCCAATTAGAATGTCAACTGGCTGGGACTGGTAGAAGTTCTGATCCGCCAAATTTATATTGGCATGTTGCGGCGATTTATGTCGACGGTACATCGTTCAATATCGACTAACCTTCTTGAGTTTTCCAACTTAATCCTTCAGCAAGGCATTCGATTCTGTGAACCACGCTCTCCTTATTCACAAGCCCTCTTTATTAGGGTTCCCAACGAATCTTCTAGATTGGATTTTGTCCTATCTCTCTAACCGTTCTCAATGTGTTTTGCTTTCTAATGTGTTGTGTCAAATATTGTTAATGTTACTTCAGGTGTGCCACAGGTAAGTCATCTGGGCCCACTTCTGTTTATTTTATTTGTGAATGTCATTCAACTTCCTGAAGTTATAACATACTCTACTAAACTAATGTATGCTGATGATGTTAAAATCTGTCTGCCTTACTCTGATTGGTATTTGCACACACGCCTTCAACTGGATCTTAGTGAACTACTATTTGTTGTTGCGTGACCTTCCATCCATGGCGGCCATTATTAGTTATTTATCTTAATTATGAAGTCTAGTGTAAGTTAGGCTAGGGCAAGCGGGAGCGCAATAAAAGCTCGCCCTCTCGCTCTTGGCGAATTCGCCCCGCTTTGGCACTGTAGGTTAGCTAGAGTAAGAGATTTTGAATTGTGAAGGAAATATAGTTGTTCGCTAACATTGAAATAGGTCGAGCGTATCCATATTCGCTCCGCCGAATAAATAATTAAATTACAGCCACCCAAAGTTTTCGGTTAATTCATTAGAAAAACTCTTCTAATTTTTCATGGCGCCCCCGGGTGGACTGTAAAGTTAATTATAGGCAACAACAATAAGTGACAGTGAGACAAGAAATTGCAGTATATGCAAACATATTCGTTACCCGCGTCGTGGTGTGTGTGTCAATCAGCAATCAATTTGCATAAAATCATCGCGTCGGTCGCGCCAAGAATAATTTTTGTGCAAATTTCTGCTACCGCCGAGGGATGCCCTGCGATAAAGACTGGAAAGTAGCAGTTGGATTCAAAGATCCAAAAGAGGAATCAGAGGTATTTGTGCAGAAAATTGAAGGCTGAGCAAAAGACATTCAGATCTCTCTTTGAGGTGTCTTGTGCTGAAAACATTGCACATCGCCTTCAATTCTAGGCACAGACGTATGATATACATATAGTAGAGCTTGATTGCATGCATTTTATTAGTAATTGCATAAATATAACTAAACACACATAAATACATACATATCGACACATACAGACATTTGTGAACCGCTATTTGGACGCAACAGTTATATGTACATACATACATCTTCCGTTTACTGCAATCACTGTCGCCCCTCCCCCCCCCATTTTATTTTGTATTTATTTGTATTTATTTGTATATATATTCCTAACGCGACAGTATTCCTACTTTATGTTAAAGCGCTAGTCACATGGAGTTCACATATATATGTAGTTGTAGTAGTTTTGTTCTACCTTTCTCGTCGTTAGAACCTCACAAAGTTTGTTCGTTCGTTCACCCAAGCCACGTCGTATAGAAAGTATCCACACATGCATACAAGCAGCAGCACCGGTGCATTATTTCGTTTCTCCACTGCTGCTTGCGTTGTATTTGTTGGGAGAATTTTCGTTGCCGCTCTTGAGCTTAACGGTGCGCCAAGTGACTCGCTACCCTGTATCTAACGGGTATATTCTTTTCGGCTGTTACTTGCCAAGTGACGCGCTACCCTGTATCTAAGGGGTATTTTGTTTTCGGCTGTTACTTGCCAAGTGACGCGATACCCTACATTCTAAGGGTATATTGTTTTCGAACGTCACTTGCAACTACTCTTTCCCTTGATACCTCGTGCCTCGACATTCAATTAAAATTCGTTTTCGATTATCGTTCTCGTTCAAAAATTATAAAAATAAAATATATTAATAATAAATAAATAAATAGAAATGATAGTGGTTTGTTGCGTAAAATCTACATACACCAATATTATGGCAGAAAACAGTAAATCTACTCTTGAAGACTTAAAGATGAAGCTCAAAAGTCGAGTAAAAAGCATTCACCGCTTAGAGGATCGATTAGATCAAGGGTTGATTCCTTTGCAATTACCGGAATTATGATGTAGATTAGATGGTTTAAATGCTTCAATTGAAAAGGCTAACCATTTGCAGGAGCAAATCGAGGACATAACAGATGATGATGCATATGCAGCCGAGTTGGAAGAGCTGACGGTTGTCACCAAGGGAAAGATAATGTCGCTTATCGCCGCCTTTGATGCAGCAAGCGAGACGAAGCCAGTGTCTTCTTCAGCCCCAACTCATAATAGACTTCCGAAATTGGCATTACCCAAATTTAGTGGTAAACACTCGGAGTTCAAAAATTTCATTAGCCTTTTTGAGAGACTAGTCCATAGCGACAACAGCATACCGGTGATCGAAAAATTTAATCATTTTATTTCGTGCCTCTCTGATGAAGCATTAGGAAAAATAATGGCATTCCAAGTCACCGAGGCTGGCCTAAAACGAGTATATGACAACGATTATTTGATTTTCACGAATAATATTTCCACATTGTTCAATCTGCCGAGTATATCACATCAATCTGCATCATCTCTAAGAACTCTAATCGATACTGTTTCGTCGATTTACG